ACTGTCTAACAACTCCCACTTACACTTAGGTCCAATCTGGTACAAGCCGGAGTCCCATGCTTTCCACGTGTTTCTCAAACACTTTCTGTGATAGTGGCTTCGTCAATGGGTCCGCTACATTTTTCGTTGACGCTACCTTCCAAATCAGGACGTCCCCTCTACCATCAATCTCCCACAATTTGTGGTACTTCCTCTCGATGTGCTTTGACTTTGAGTGGGCTCATGGCTCCTTAGCCTGAGCAATAGCTCCATTGTTGTCACACAACAACGGGATGGGTGATGTGCTGGATGGAACGGCTCCCAACTCGTGAACGAACTTCTTCTTCATCCACACGGCTTCTTTGGCAGCCTCACTTGCAGCAATGTATTTAGCTTCGGTCGTGGAGTCTGCAGTGAACCCCTGTTTGCTGATTTTCCAGCAAATAACACACGATCCTATCGTGAAAACATATCCAAATGTAGACTTTATATCATCTGGATTCGACTGGAAATCAACATCAGTATACCCCTAGATCTGTAGTGAGTTACCATCGAATACCAGACAAAACTCTTTTGTCCTTCGAAGGTACTTAAGTATGTTTTTCACAGTAGTCCAATGCTCCTGTCCTGGGTTGGCTTGGAATCTGCTTACCACACTCACTACCTAAGCAATGTCAGGCCGAGTGCACAGCATGACATACATGATGCTCCCTACGACAGAGGCATAGGGAACGCTCTTCATGCCCTCAATCTCCTCAGAGGTCTTGGGAGACATCTTCTTGGAGAGAGTGWCTCCGTGCCTGAAAGGAACATTTCCTTTCTTGGAGTTYTCCATGTTGTATCTTTTGACTATTTTGTCAATGTAAACAGATTGGGATAATCCTATTATCCGCTTCGATCTATCTCTATATAGTCAAAGACCATAGGAGGCTTCTCCAAGATCTTTCATGGAGAATTGCTGTGAAAGCCATACTTTCACCATAGTTAACATTCCTACATCATTCCCAATGAGTAGAATGTCACTTACATACATACCAAGATGGTAACCTTATCCCCACTGGATTTCCTGTAAACACAGGGCTCATCCGGATTCTGCTTGAAGTCAAACGATTTGACAGCAGAGTCAAAACGGATGTTCCAACTCCTAGAAGCTTGCTTCAGTCCATAAATGGATCTATTAAGTTTACATACCATGTGTTCCTGACCAGCAATAATGAAGCCTTGCGGCTGATGCATATAGATATCTTCAGTAAGATCACCATTCAAGAAGGCCGTTTTGATATCCATTTGCCGGTGAGAGGTGGATTCCTGATTACCCGAGGCCACCCGCGCCTCGGGAGACTGGACTCCGATATGGTTACCCTGAGCCGAGGTACCCACCTCAGGCACCTCGGGCTCGTCTAATAGGCTATCAAAGGAAGACATAACTGAAACTGAAGAAGAGATAGGGTGACTCACCAAAGAGAAATAGACCGGACTGGGATAGAACTGACCTGAGCTGGAGGCTTTGGATGCGAGCTCAAAACTACAGCTGAAGGTTTGTGGTGAAGGAAAATGGCCAGGACCCCCGCTATTTATAGCCACTATATGCGGGCATCAATGGTTGAGATCGAAACGATCTGACAGTCCTCATGAAAACCGGCTGCACAACCTTCGAGGCGAAATCAGTTTAGCACGTTTTTGACGTCCGCAGAGTCTATAACTCGCGTGATGTCCGTGCGTAGACTGCACGCAACCCGAGCTGCGCCTGGCAGAACCGAGCAGAAAACCGGTTCAACTTGTGAGCTGGCAGGCAAGAAAGTTTGGACTCCGAGCCGAATACACCCGGCAGACTACGGACTCCCCGCGCTAGGTCAACACCCCTAGCACGGGGAGTGGGGGGCAATTGATGTACGGTAATTCAGCCTGACCCCGTAGCAAGGGGACACGTGTATATGACCTGGCATAAGCGACAAGTCAGCGTTGCAGCCTGGCCGCAACTCGGCGTAACAAGCTCGCCGAGGCCTGACCAAATGACTCGGCAGGTGTGACAACCCGCTGAGTAGCAAGGCCCAGTTCGCCCCAAGGTTGAAGGCGGAGCTCCCCGAGCTCCCCCATGCAAGGGGACCCGAGCTCCCCTTGAGACCCGAGCTCCTCCTAAGGGGCCCCGAGCTCTCCCTTCCTAAGAAGGGAGCACCCTGGCTTTTGGCTGTGTCCCGAGGGAGAAACACCTCGGGGCAGCATCATCGAGACTCCTGTTCGAACTTGCTTAAGGCTTGCCTCCAGTGCGGGCACCTCGGTGTACCTCAGCACCTTGGTGCAAGGTAAATTTGCCCCAGGTGGTTCGGTGTATGGTAGCTCGGCAGACTTCTAGGAGATCTGCCTGACATCCGTGCTTGCCTGACATTCATACCTACCGGATCTGGTGGCAATGCTCGGATCCCTTGCCAGGCGGCGTTCTGCCTGCCGTCTCTAAAAAGCATGGCACGCCTGTCGAGTCCGTACCTTGCAGTAGCAGCCTGTAGCAGCAGCCTACACCTGCCACCCCTGCCCTGGCGGTAACAGCTAGGGCAGTGACGGTTGCGCCTGATTTGACCGAGCTTCGGTATAAAAGGACCCCAACCCTCACGAAGCTAAGGTATTGAAGCTAGCACTTTCAGCACTGTTAACTCTCTGTGTCTTCTTTGAGTTTTCTCAAGAGTTCTAACTTAGCCATCGGAGTGTTCCCATCGGGAGAGCTCCCCGGGAACCCTTCACCTTCCTCTTCCTCTCAGGTCCCGTCCGTCACAACTAGGAGCCAAGTCTTAGCCAGCTAAGAGTGTCCAGATCATGCTGCATTAGGTGGGTTCCTTTCTAGTTACCCAATTGCAGCCTGGAAAGCATTGAGGCTTGTGGGGGAGGCATATAAGAAACACAACTTCTTTCTTCTTTTAAATCACGGAGTAAAAGCTCGATTCATAGTTGATGCTCATTGCTACATGGATTTGTTCTTTGACATGCCACTCCACGAAAAGCATTGGGCTTAGAGGAAGACCAGCAAGAACTGTGGATATGCTGGTAGGTTTACTAGCTATTTCTTCAAACTACCTTGGAAAGACCCTTTCCTTCAGCTATTCAGCCCACCAACAACCACACAAAACCGTGGAAGGATATTTCCTCAACGTCATGAGTGAATATTTCCTCTATTTTTCCTTGAATATTTTCTCAAACTTTGTTGCTTAATTAATTGATGTACGTGTTTGTCCTCTATTTCGTTGGTTCGGTTCACATAGGAGGGGGTACCAATGAGGCCATGAGTTCTCTCTCTCGGTATATATCATGGAGCTCTTACGAATGTGCCTTGGAGTAGGTCCTACCCATTTCTGAGATTTTTTTGAAGGAAATGATTCAATAATGAGGCTTAACTACTATCCGCGGTACCAGAAGCTAGAACCCACCCTTGGAACAGGGACCTCACTGTGATCCAACCTTTTTAACCATCCTTCATCAAGACCACATCAGTAATATGTTCATTGTATGATAAGTCCCAACCTTGAAGCTTTTGTCGTCAACGTCGGTAATATGTTCATTGTATGATAAATAAGATCAATAGTTATATTTATGTGCAGAAATGGAATGAGTGATTTATATTTTGTAGGATTAATTTCTTTTGTTTCCGGTTGTCCAAGGACAGTACTAGAATTGCTTGCATAGAGCTGTTGTTAACAATAAAACACCAAGGAAATCTCAGACTTTCTTTCTCTGTCCAAGGGTAAATAAGGTGGTGTACCCTTTAGAGCATCCAAGATGAATATCAATAGTTAAAGTTAAGAGCATTCAAAATGAAGGATAAAATCGGTATTTAAAAAAATATATATCAGATAACGTTTTTTGTGTGCGTCAATGACGGAATGGAGGTTTTTGTCTAATTTTTCAAAAACTCAGGGGAAGTAACTATTACAATAAATTAAAGGAGATTGCCCTAAAAAATGTAGACCAGTGTGGGTGCTGATCTTCTTTACACGCATCAAATTGATGATTCACGACAAAAATTTACCGTTACAATCTAATATTTTGATTTCATAATATCTGGAGATGGACAAGGACGTAAGAGATGTGGTAATAGAGGAGGAATGGAGGAATATCAACTTAGGGAGGAAATATAATATATGGTCACATGTTCTATGTCGGTTATGTATTAAAAGAATTTTATTATATATTTTGTCCGTTAGGTAGTAATAATAAACAGTCATTGAATCTAGGGAGTTCCATTCTGGGCAGTGTGAAGGTAATGGTTCGTCAAATAAACACAAATAGATGCATGATTTTAATAGGTATTTAACGAGGGATAAGTTGGTTAATCAATAAATTAATTACCATATTCATATATATTCGATTCTACTATAATCGAGGGTATCCAAAAATATCTGTAAGATGGGTAAATCAGAATAACTTGTAATTTATAATAACATTAAATCTCACATATCCTATCAAGTTTTGCCTAGCTAAAAAATACTTACTCAAATAAATATACTTTAACTAATTAAATAAAACAAACAAGGCCTAAAATGAAAATTTCTGTCTTATTATATTAAAATAACTTATATATATATATATAACTCAACTCTCCAGTCTCCACATAATTCAAACCACTAAAGGCCAAACGTTCCTCTTCAAACTACATAATTCAATCAAGTCGCTACGTCTTCTAATTCTAGCTGCTTCTTCTGTCCTTAGTCTGTTGGAGGCTGGACCACCGTTAACTCAGAATCATAGTTTTATGTCCTGTCTACTCTCTTCCCACCTGCCCAACACCCTATGACCCACATTATTCTCCCGTCTTCATCAATCAAAGATAGAAAGGACAACAAGAAATACCCATGTGCCTTAACATTCTCCGTGTCTATAATATGTATACGTATATGGCTGTATGGTGTATTCTCTACCATTTTCTACCAACTGTTCATACCATTATTTTTGCTTTGTTTAGTGGCCAGGGTCGTTCTGTGCGTCTGTACAAGGTTGTTGCTTTCCAACCAGTATTGTAACGATTTCAGAGGGTTTTACCATGCATGGCATCTTTGTATTTGACAGTAATGGGAAAAAGCTGAGGAACTGTGACGCCAGCAACTCTCTCGATCTGTTGTTCGAGGTACGTACGTACCCTTTTATCTATTCTCTTGCTCGATCTCTCGCTAGCTAGCTGTTTTAATTTTGCTTCGATTAATCTTCCTCTTCTAGATCGTCAGGAGGCAGGAGCTACTAATTAATTTGTTTACTTCCCTGTGATATTAATTATATCATTTTCATGGCTGTAGATAGAATGCTAACCAACTGGCCCTCGTATTCATGCCCAAGCAATTACAGCGAATTTTGGTCTCTCGAGTGGACCAAGTATGGCACCTGCACACTCTCTGTCTTCGATAGTCAATATGATTTCTTTAAAGCAGGCCTCGACCTCAAGGATAGAATGGATATCCTGAAAATCCTCAAAAGAAGGAGGTAGTGTTATAATATGAAGATGACGATATATAGCTTCTTCTCTCACTAATTTCTTGATCTGTGGCCTTATATGTGTTTAATTTGATGAGCTTCATTAATTATCAGTATATATGATCGCCATTGTTGTGGACAATAATTAATGATCGATGCAGGAATCGAACCCACCGGGTTGTTCTACAGCACGGAGAGATTCACACGAGTCATTAAGGCTGTGTTTGGTTTTAAGGAAAAAGTAGGGAAGAAAGGAAAGGTAGGGAAATCTTCACAAATTTTGTCTAAGTTTCCCTACCTTTCTCTTCCTTTCCTTACATTTTCCTTCAAACCAAACATAGCATAAAGAAGCAACTGGAGTAACTCCTGCAATTGACTGCACTCTTGACAAGTCGAACAACTATCACTCTACCAAGTTATCTTCTGCGTGGATAAATCTGGGTCTAACTTCATTGACTGCCCCTACTACCCTAAACCCACTTGTACTTCGGCATCAGGTTTCCTCCTTTCAAAGGTTCAGCCGCTGAAGGGATCTACCTTCCTTCCTGAAGTGTTACTCTCTACTTCTACTCTAGTAAATAATCACCTTCGCTGGTGAAAGTGAAATTAATGTAGAATAAATATATGGATGGATTCATGCACAAGTTTTTCCTTTGTGATGTTTCATGCATATGTTATTCGTTGTTTGAGGATCAATGCTACTTTAAGATGGAAAAGAAAAGGAGAAAAGATAGAACAAGATGAGATTAACCTGAAAGCTCTGGACATGTTACCAATGCTCTCTAACGATAAACGAACTACACAGTTATGTTTAATGAAAGCTTCATTAAGAAATCTTCTTTTCACCATCTCTTCTTTCCATCCATTTTGCATTTTGCATAATAAGTTCGGCTTCTTTTCATTGGTTCGTAATCCGCCAAGAGTTTGACGAGCTTAAGCAAATGATGGTTATCTTAGGTTCCAATGTGGATTGGTTGATATCTCAAATCATGGAAAACCCACTTCACACACCCTCATCAGGTGTACTTTGTCCCTACCAGCCCTGGCAACGTTTGCATCCACTCCCACAGTCTTTAGACCACCACCTCAACCAATATCCCCATCCCACCAACCATTAGTTCATAGATGTTCATCTGGTGCACTTGTAATGACTAAGAACTCTCTTGTCATTTTGGCCCCACCCTAAACAACTCCACACTATGCATCATCTTCCAAGCTGACATCACACATATTAGCCCCCGCTCAAGCTCAAATGACTCAAAATGGCCAACCAACCTAGAAGGAGAAAAGGATCCTCACCCATTTACCGTGCTCTCACGATCAAATGCTACCCAAGCCTAGGAATTATGATGAAAATGTTCATTGTGACTTTCATCATGGACCAGGGTGCACAACCAATTATTGTTGGCAGCTAAAGTTTGCTATTCAAGATCTCATTGACAAGGGTGTATTCGATTCCACCAGGAAAGTTCCAGACATGGTGCCGCCAATGCCCAACAAGCTGATCCATTAGAAGATCTCATCAGTTTTTGTTTTGTTGCATTAATTTGGACTCTTTTATTCCATTCTGCTTTGTAATAATTGAACACATCATCTTTTGTGTTAATCAAAGTTTTTAGTTAGTCATTTCATTTTATTGTTCTGCCTTCTGCGCTTTCGATAAAGTAATAAGTTTCAGTAACAAGGAGACTTCCTAAATTCGGAAAGAGATAAAGTTACTATTTTCCTTAGAAGGATTGTGCAAGCATGATTGTCTTGGATAGCAAGCTTAGGATAAGCAAGGCATAACTGTGCGAAATAATGATTGTTGATCGAAGGGTCATGGCTAGAAACACCCTAGGGAGGGGTAATCCCATCATTCCAAAGTAGTGATATCCATTCCCAAGCATGTCTACAAATAAGCCCACCATTGATAGCTCAAACTGGGGTAAGCATGATGTTGAAACCACTATGATGAGATATGCACTCCTTTGGGTCTGTTTCATGAGCCAACATAGAATGATTGTGTCATAACAACCTAGTACTTTGCTTATTAATCATGGAAAGGACTGGAGGCCCTTATCAGTCGTTTTTATTCCCCTAAATCCCTTGCCACTGTCAATACCGCTACTTAGCCCATTGAGCTGATTTGTTAGATCCTCTTCTTTGGTTAAACCAATAAAATTCCTAATATGCTTATTTCCAAGGGACTAAAAGAAGTTAGAAAAAAAAAATGAGAAAAGGGGAAATAGAAAAAGAAAAGAAAAGAGAAAAAAAAGAAAGAAGAAAAAAGAAAAAAAATACTCTCATTTGAGTAATCTTAGAACATTCAAGTCTTAAAGTTTTCAAATGACATAAATACCCTTAAGTTAGTTGAACTCAGAATGTGTACTCAACATGTATTTCTCCCATACGTGTTATACATTTAATGGAGAAATGATGGGAGGCCCTCTTTTGGCTGATTGCTTTATCCCTTTTCGTTAAACTCTCTTTATTATTCATTTCACTAGTTATCCCTTTGAGACTTTGCAGGAACCATTCCTTCAAATAAACCCTCCTAAGAGGCAGATGTCAGATGTTCAATTCTACGTATGAACCTCAATCAATTGAGAAAAAAATAGAAAGAAAGAAATGAATATAAAAATTGGGGCAAATGTGCAAATTAAAGAAAAAGGAAGAAAAAGAAAAGAAAAGAGGTAAAAAGAAGGGAGGTTGCAAAGATAGACTGGAGCAGCCAACTATTGTGAGAAGAAGAAGAAAAGAACAAGTGAGAACAACTGGGGCAGACTTGATTGGTAGGATCCAACAGTGACATCTGTTCTTAGTTTTTTTATTTTAGCTTCACTTATTTCCATTTCGTCCTTCAATAAAGTCCTCCTTGATCACCCGGGAGCATAATCCATAGTATTGAAAGACATGAAGAAAACTTTGTGTCATTTATGATTGCGAGAGTGTTTGATTGAGGAAAAACAAGAGTATAAGAGCATAATTTTGAATAAATCTCTAAATATGGATTCAAGCATCCGATATTTAGTTTAAGTTTCTTGAACCTTTTATCCCTTGTCCTATGCCACATTTTTGTCCTAGTCAAAAGTCCTCCCCAATCCTTGAAAAATTGGTAATTGACACTAGATAGATCTGAATGGGTTGGCAAAAAAAGAGAGAAAAAATGGAAAGAAGAAATCAAGCCCGATTGTTCTCTAAAGCTAGGGGCAAAATGGTAAAAAAAAAGATAATCTTCTTGTTAAAAGTGCAATGCATCAAGGAATTGGATATCAAAGACAATGAAGTGACCAATTATTAGGAGCATGATAGAATTATCCCTTAATCTAGTTTGAGCACATCCAACTTCATCCCTTATTCGAGTGTGCCATCAACACCCATTTCGTTAAATCATCAGGTTTTCAATGCAAAATTGAGCAGTCATCATCTTCATGAGTAATCCTTCTTAATTGATTCAAACTAGGGAAGACCCCCTTTCGATGGGTGTTTCGTGAAGTGGATCTTTGATCGACGATCATTGCATATCCAATGTTTATGTTTTTGAGATTTGAAATATATTGATCATTATTTTCCAAGAATGAAGTGGTTGGTTTTATCTCTTATTCAAGTCCGAAAAAAAATTCCCGATGGAACTCTATCTTTGAATATCCATAGGGAGCATCCTATTATAATCAAGGGTGATTCATTATTGGTTATCTCGTGCCTAAAAAAAAGGCGGATGTTCCTTGGAATTTGAAAGGCATCATCTCTTGCTGCTTGAAGAGGAGAGGTCTATTCGAGGGTGGTCTTCGATATCATCATATTTTCAGAGAAGCTAACCAGGTGGTAGATTAGCTTCCTCATGAAGCTCTTTCTTCTTCTTCCCTTTCCCTAGACTATTGTATCAACTCACTTCCCCTTTCCCTTCTTCTTATTTGTTTTGTAGATTTTTGGGGACGCACTACCCCCCATTGTGTGTAGTACACTTCTTTTTATTTCAAAAAAAAAAGAACATCCATTGCTTTGCATTATCTGAATATGGAATTTTGCATTGTGTTGATAAGTTAAAAATTTCATATGAAAGTTATTCATTATATGATGAATTGTGCTTTTCAGTTAATCATATCATGCTTTTTAAAATCATCCAACTTTCAGATAGTCATATCATTTCCTGCCTATGGCATAGAAATCATTATTTGATCATGATAACCATATTTGTTAAAAGTCTGTCACGATAGTAAAGACCCTCGTGGCATTAAAGTCCCTTGTGGCATCAAAGTCCATTACTGCATTAAAGTTCTTTATGACTTTTCTTTACGGCAAGCGTACCTTAATTCCATAAGGTTTTTACCCAGGAGGGGTCGTTTACCCAAAAATTAGTAGTTTTCACCAATGAACCCTAATTTCGTAAGGTTTTCACCCAAGAGGGGTTGTTTTCCCAAAGAATAGTAGTTTTCACAAATGTACCCTAATTCTGTAAGGTTTTTACCCAGGAGGGGTCGTTTTCCCAAAACATAGTCATTTTCACAAATGAACCCTAACTCCTTAAGGTTTTTACCTAGAAGGGGTCTTTTTTGAAAGAAATGGTAGTTTTCATCAATTTACCCTGATTCTGTAAGGTTTTTACCCAAGAGGGTGAGTCATTTTCCCAAAAAATAGTTGTTTTCACAAATAAGCCTTAATTCCATATGGTTTTGACCTAGGAGGGGTCATTTTCCCAAAAAATGGTAGTTTTCACCAATTTATCCTAATTTCATAAGGTTTTTACCTAGTAGGGGTCGTTTTCCCAAAAAATGGCAGTTTTCACCAATTTACCCTAATTTCATAAGGTTTTTACCTAGTAGGGGTCATTTTCCAAAAAAAAAAGCCATTTTCTAATACCCTGACTCCATAAAGATTCAGATACCTTGGAGGGGTCACTTTGAGATAGGAGATGATGATATAGAAGCTTGATAACAAGTTCACCACCTTTCTCAAGGAATGTGGTAGCGTGTCCAAAATTTGTAGATTCCTCATCGTCCCCCAAGGAGCGTAAGTGAGATTACTAAGTTAAGGAATCATATTAATCATGCATTATTATCTTGATGAATACTGATGCACACTTGAAAGCACAACACTTTGCATCGTCATTAGATTTATCGAGTGTTTGGTCAAAATTTTAAGTGTCGATTGCTCTTGGTTGGAATGATGCATCTCGTTTGACCAAAGAGCAGTTGCGCTATATCAAGCACAGGACCTCTGTCAAG